CAGTCTCGCTGTCCACTGGGGCACAGGGTGACCTCTGCTGGACAAGCCTGTGCTCTCCCACCTCCTTCTCAGGCAGCTGCCTCCCCTGGCCCTGCTGAGGGACAGCACTCAGCACCTGGCCTCTCCCACACAGAAAAGGAACCAGGAGCAGACATTGAGGGAAACGGACTTCCCGGCTGGCCGGTGAGGTGAGCCAGGCATAGAAGGGAGCCGGACCCGTCACATCCCTCCTGAGGAGGTCGGCAGTGGGAACCGCGCCGCGAGGACTCACTAGGAGGGGCAGGGGTTGGGGCAGTCCTGGGGGCTGTGGCCGGCCAGAGCAGGCAGCCATGCTCCGGGAGGCCGAGGCCGAGTGGGGAGAAGATGCTGTCAGAACTCAGAGCAAGCGATGTGGGGGACAGGCACCACGGGAAGGGCCTGTGCCCAGGGCTGGTGGAGGCGACATGGAGGCCCAATGGTGACCCCGCAGTGAGGATCCTCATCACACTGGCGCAGATTCAGCATTTCTTAAGAATTCAAAAGGGAACTTGGGTCCACTGAGGAAGTCTGTTTGATCTGTCAACTCGTGCTGCTTGTTGGATGGCAGCTCCTGGGTGGCACGTCTGATGGCTAGAATGGCACAGAGCAGAACCAGGGCAGGTGCAGCTGCCACACCTTCTGAATTTCTACCCAGGGCCCTGTCATAAACCTGCGGCCTCCGCGTGCATGTCACAGGGGGCTGTGTCCTGAGAGCAGCCTGGGCCTGTGAGCACCACCCGTGCCCCTGAACTGTCTCAAGCATTTCTCTTTCTCAGCTTTGACTGGACCAAGACCGACGTCTCCCCATAAAGAATGTAAACATCCTGAGCAGCTTCTCAGCCCTTGAAATCTCTTACTGGATATTGAGTCTAATCGTTGTGTCTACCAAAAGCCTTACACTCGTGCATTGAGCTGACAGGTCTACAAATTTATCCTGAGGGATTAGTCACAGTGCTTTTAAGTAGCAAGGAATTGGAAATAACCTGGATGTCCAGCAGATGGGGGTGGATAAATATGGTATGGTACAACCATACAGGGGAATACTAGGCAGCCATCTAAAGGAATGTTCTAGAAACAGGCATGCTGACATGAAAAGAGTTGCATAAGCAGATACTACATTAAAGGGGCAAGATGTACAGAGTTATGAACATGTTAAGAAGTTCCCGAGGTTCGTGGGGAAGATAAAGCAGGTTGGAAAACTATTTCTTTTTAACCATGTTCTTTCTGTGTTAAAAAAGTACGTATGCATGGATTTGGAATATATATCTTAACTCTTTCCAGGGGTAATCCTTAAGTTGTGGCATTCTGGGTGGTTTTATTACCCCGTTCCTGTGTTCCGGATTTTAAGATGCAGCCGCAGCTGTGTGGCTCAGACAGAGAGACGGTAGCACTGGACTTTGAGAGCCTGGCGCTACCTGGTCCCCGACCCCTCCTCCGCTCTACAAGTGATTATTTATAGAGCTGCCCTTGTCTTCCCGGGCCCCCCCGTCAGGCACACCCTCATTTCTCCCTCTCCTGTGCGATCGTCTTTCCAGCGCGCTGCGTGCACCCTCTTTTCTTCTTGGCTGGGTGGCTTTGCAGACGGAGGCTGAGCGCCTGGCAGCTGACTGGCGCTCACCACGCTCTCCCCCGCCCGCAGGTGCTGCTGCACTATGCCGCAGACTCTGTGAAGAGGGTCTCCATGGAGCTGGGCGGCCTTGCCCCGTTCATCGTCTTCGACAGCGCCAACGTGGACCAGGCCGTGGACGGGGCGCTGGCGTCCAAATTCAGGAACGCTGGACAGGTGAGTCCTGGGGCGTTACTCGGGGTTTGAGGGAGCGGATGTGTGTGTCCCCTCTGCTGCCTCCCCCTCCCGGATCCCACACCACTCATTCTCATTTGATTATTCGGGCAACGTTTAGGAGGCACCTTCTTCCTAGGGACCGCGCCAGACGTGGAGAGTCCGAAGGGAAGGGAGGCAGGCTCCAGCTTCAAGAGCTTCGTGGACCTGATGGTTCTTTTCTCCTCTCTCTGCCCTTCCAACCTGAGCGCTTTCCTAGGTTTCCGTCCAGTGAGGGCCTGTCTGCACTTAACGGATGCAGTCAGCTCAGAGGCGAAGCAGCCTTGAACAGCCAAGGTCTGAGGCCCAAAGTCCTTTTTTTTGGGTACTGGAAATTGAACCCAGGGGTGCTCAACCACTGAGCCACAGCCCCATTCCTTTTTATTATTTTTATTTTCTATTTTGAGACAGGGTCTCCCTAAGTTGCTCAGGGCCTCACTAAGTTGCTGAGGCTGGCCTTGAACTCATGTCCTCCTGCCTCAGCCTCCCTAGTGTCTGGGAGTGTAGGTATGCCCCAGCGCACCCAGATAGTCCCTTAGTCTTAAGAGAAAGAAGATAGAAAAACGTCAGGACAAAACCTGGAGAAACTCACAGCCCTGCTGCCTCCAAAGACCTGCCTGGGCCTCACTCTTCCTGAGATGGGGCATCAGAGGCACCAGATGCAGGACGCAGGGGCAAAGGGCTGGACTGTGCCTGGACATGTCTTGGGAGAGTGGAGGCCGAGCTCACATCTGACAGGCAGCCCTGGAATCTCAGATCTGGCAGGGACCTTTCAAGTCATCCGACGTAGGTCTTGCATTTTCCAGATGAGAAACTAAAACTGGGGGTGGTGGCCGTGGCTCAGTGGTAGAGCACTTGCCTAGCATGTGTGAGGCACTGGGTGCCATCCTCAGTGCCACATTAAAATAAATAAACAAAAACAAGGATATTGTGCCCACCTGCAACTAAAAATATTTCAAGAAAAGAAGAAAGAAACTGTTAAAAGACTGGGTAACTGAAGGGTCACTGAGCCAGTGGTCCTACCCCGTCCCCAGCTTCTATCCATGTGGTTGCATGGAGTCTGGCTTCTTAACAAGTACTCTTAAGCATTTGGCCTTAAAAGTATCATCAGTAAACCTGGTGCAGGGGCACACACCTGTAATCCCAGTGACTCAGGAGGCTAAGGGAAGAGGATCCCAAGTGAAGGCCAGCCTTGGCCACTGAGCAAGACGCTGTCTCAAAAAATGAACAGCACTGGGGATGTGGCACAGTGTGCCAGCTGAGCTCAGATGCCAGCATTTAAAGTAAATAAATCACACACATATATATCTGAACATCTGCATCACCAATAAGCATTTTTAAATGTTTCTCCAGAAACAGAGTCAGAGTTCCAGAAGGTCCCGTGTGAGAATGGGTGCTGTTTGCCGCTCCCTGTGCACAGCCTGCACCCTGCTGTGGCCTTGAGCTTACCTCCCCTTCACACGTCAGTGCTGATGCGTTCAGCGTCCGGCCGGTTCCCTCTGCAGACACAGAGTGCCACCTGCCCAGCCTCCAGTGGCCTGCGCTTGTCTCTGGGCCCGAGCGCCCTGGGAGGTGGGCCCTGGGAAGTGGTCCCACAGGAGGCGGCAGGCAGCTGCAGCGAGGTTCCTGGTTGGACCGACCGCTGTCCAGCTGACCCTGGGCCGGTTTCCTCTTCCATCTAGACCTGTGTTTGCTCCAACCGATTCTTGGTGCAAAGTGGGATCCACGACTCCTTTGTCAAAAAGTTTGCGGAGGCGATGAAGAGGAACCTGCGTGTGGGCAACGGATTTGAGGCGGGGACCACCCAAGGCCCGCTGATTAACGAGAAGGCAGTAGAAAAGGTGAGTCCACCTTCGTCTGTGGAGTGACTTCGCTTTCAAATCCAGAGCCTGGCTGAGCAAGTCGCCTGAGTGAGGTGGGAGCCCGCGGTCCCACGGCTGGCGCATCCCCGGCGCTCGTTTCTGTGGCTGTCACGATGGGGTCCTGTGAGATCCACCGAGGGTCCTCCCGGCCGCCTGAGCTTTCCGCCACAGGGGGTCAGTTTCCTGGATGATGAAATGCCCTTCCAGAAGCGTCCTTGAGCAAAGCAGCAGGGGCGCAAAGAGGTGGACGGCATCTGGCCAGTGTCCAATGTTGCCGTGGGTGGCTCCAGCAGGACCACCTGTGACTCGGAAGTGACTTTGGCTCCTAGGACACGCACGGGTTGCTGCTGGTCTAGTGAATGCAGTTTATCCTCCTTCGAATCCTAAAAGTGGTGACTCTCACCCGCTGCTGTGCCCTTTACCATGGAGCTGCCCCCCCCCCCCGACCTTCATGTATCTACCCAGGGCCTGGTTTTGGGTTTAGCTTGGTTTTGCTAGTGCTGGGGTGGAACCCAAGGACTGGAACGTGCTGGGAAGTGCTCTCCACCGAGCTGCGCCCAGCCCAGCGCTGGGTCTCAGTGTCTCAGGTGGTGCTGAGTCGGCCCTCTGGGAGCCGGCTTGGGGGTGATTTTTTCCCCAGTGAGTGTGGCGCTGTGGCCCTGGACAGTGTCCTGCACGGGGACTTTCCAGTGAGTGTAGCGCTGTGGCCCTGGACGGTGCTGTGCACTGGACTTCCCAGGAGCTGTCGCAGGATTTCCATCGTAGTGGAAGGAGGCTGGCTAGAAAGGGCCTGTTCAGAAACAATCTGCGGGGCCAGGATGGAGCTCCGTGATAGAGCCCCACCCAGCATGCAGGAGGCCCTGGGTTCCACCACCAGCACCACAAACAATAAACAAGAATAAAGGGAAACAGTGTGTTGGGCTGGCTTTGGCGGACAGATCCTCACAGACCCTTAAGGAGGTGGGCGCGAGGCGTGGGCGCGAGGCGTGGGCGCGAGGCGTGGGCGCGAGGCGTGGGGCTGGGTTGGTGAGCAGAGTTGTT